AAGAGCAATGCAAAAGCCTTAAAAAGGAAAAATATTCCAGGTGAAGGTTTATCAAGCTGAGTAGCCTTCTAAGCACAAGTTTCCTCCAAGACAGCTCACTCATATATCCCCTCTAGCAGCCAAATTTGATTATTCCTTGGTGGGTACATGACAGAATACTCCCTGTTTGCAATTTAAATAAAGGACTTGGGCTACTTCTAACTGAATTCCTGCTTTACTGTTTTCACATGAGGAAGTTACCACCTGCACAATACTCCTGTCACCTGTATAAGCAACCACATCTCTGCTACCAAGGTACTTTTCTTCTGACCAGATTGCTTCTTTAATACCTCCCCACATAACCTCCACTTTCGTTTAGAAGGTGAAATCCTTTTAAATTCTCCTCCTCCTTCTCTTTGTAGGAGGAATGGGGAGATAAACAGAAACAAGCAGAGCTTTCCATGCACCTGCCACAATTCCTACTAGATGGAAAGGAGGGGAAGGCAGCTGGAATGCAGCACATCACACAGGAGCAGGCCAAGGCTGTTGGGAAGCACTCCCTTTTCCCGGTCACAAGATCAAACTTACAGCTGGAGAAGGTGGGGGGTTGCCCAGCAGGGAGCTTCCAAGCAATTCTCAGTCAGTCTTATCCAGTGCAAAGGAATTTTATGGAGGAACAGCTCCTTCACAGATGCTTGTTTGTTACAGTGCTGTCTTCTCTTCCCTTAAAAGATAACAAGGTGCTCAAAACTCATTGAAAAATATACCCTTTATCTCTTTGCTGTAATATTTTTACTGTACTATTCCTCCCCAAAGAAACTGGCATCCCAATCCAAATCCAAGACCAGCTGTACTGACCCAGTAGATCAAGGTTGTGACACAGGACTTGCCAACATAATGAGAGCTGGGTCGGCTCCACCAGAAGTGACCACAGTAAAGTGCAGACCTTCCCAAGCTGGTTCTCTGTGTTCCATCCCAAACAGGAAAGACACAAGATGTGTTTGTACAATATTGTCCCAAAGAAATGGGAGTGTACTGCTCCTGGGGACCTAGGATCATCCAAGATAACACTGCCATAAATAGACCTAAAAGCTGGGAACTGCTGCCCTTCAGGGATCTTGGCACACAACAGACACACTCAGCACTGACTGAAAGCACCAAACCCCTGACTGCCACAGATCCTGGCAAAATCCTGGTGCAGACTGAGCCAGACTGGGAGAGGACAGGAGAGGCGGCAAAATTAACCAGCTGGAAACCTCCTCAGGGATACACTATACTGAAGTGTAGAAGTCCTGCTAACAGAATTTTTTGTGATATGCTGTGAATAATTAAAGCTCTTCTGTGCCCACCTCTGGACTAAAACACAGTTTGCCAATTTAAACAGTTCTAAGGAGTTAGGAACAGAAAGTAAAGTATTAGTTATTACTTTTGTGTAAGTTTAGAAGGCATGAAACCCCTGTCACAGGATTGGAAAAGGACAGTAAGACAACGTGAGTGTCCTGTAAAGGAAGCCTTAGGCTTCTGTCAAGTGAAGAATGAACTGGGAACAGAGACTCATAACAAATTGCATGTTACACCTTTATCTCTTATCTACTACTGTGATATCCTACAAGTACTAACACCTGGAAAACACAGGGCCTTATCTTTCATGGGAGAAAACGGCTTTTCCTCTCTTGAAGAGGCTGCAGCAAAGTTCCCAGTAACAATTTAAATGTTTTTCTGAGAAATGTATGACATTCATAAGCTGCAGGTTGAAAAGGGGAAGAAATGCAACCTCTACATTCACATGGCAAAATGCAATCATCAGGTTACTGCACATCCCATGTAAGGTCGCACCACTCTCCCAGTTTTCCCAGTAGTACAGAAGAGACTCCTGCATTTTTTACATACATTCCAGACATACTCACCAGCATTGACTCTGGCAATGCCTGTCAGAATCTCAGAAATCCAGTTGATCAAGAACTGAGGCCGGAGTTCTGAAGAGTCAGGACATTCCTTCAGCTCCATAAACATCTTCTCTATTAGGATCTGGGTAAAACTTCTGGACAGAAGGCTTGTCAGGAGAGGCTGCCAAAAGCAGTAAAATGTCTGAGGAATTTTGAACTGCCAGACCTCTCTATTTGCTGCAGGAAGAGAAAATAAAATAAAAATAATAATAATAAAAACGATAAGTCAATAATCACTGGTTTGTTATTTTTTTGTGAACCACGGGTGTGACACTTGTTTCAAACTAAAGCAGTTTGTTCTGAGATCACTGGTTCCATGGTATTTCCTGGGATTCTCACTGAACCTGGAACTATTCTCTTCTTACGTTAGGGAAGCAAAATAAGCAGCAAATTGATACTTTATGCAACAGCTCAATTAAACTAAAAAATACAATGCCTGATCTAATCACATGGTAAATGTGATCAACCACAGGAAAAATCACCAGTTTTGCTAATCTCTTCCCATTTTCAGCTTATTAGTATTATAATGAAGAGCTATTCTATCTATGTACTGCAAAGAGAAGACACATTGAGCAAAGAAACACAGAATCAAAAAGCTCCTAAATTTTTACTCCTATAATACAGTCACAGAAATGTGAGGATCTTTCTTGGAAAGATCTTTTTCTGGTGTTTCCAAGAGATCCAAGGGAAACAGACAAATCATTAATTTTCTAGGTAATTCTCTAGCAGAAAACTGATGTGACTCCACATGTATGGGCATCAACACAGAGTAACTGGTGAATGAGGCTCAAAAGAACAAACATTTAGATTTGCTTCAAATCTTCAGTGCAGAGAAGAAACTAGTGGAAGTTCATGAAATCAGTAACTTGCAGATTAGAGCAGAGATACAAGATTTGAAAGACATTTTGGCCAGGTAGCATTCAGTGCTGAAGAGCTAGCCTTGCATGGTAAGAAATTTATAAAAGAGCAATAGCTAACTCTGGCCAAAAAGAGGTCTGAAGAACAGGTCAAAGATATCTAGGGACCCAGATATATAAAAAAACATGCAGGGAATTACAGATTTCAATGTGAGGGAAAAAAGAACAGACTTGCATGTAACTAGCTGCGCACTGCGCACTAGCTGCGCACTTTTTACTTCCGTGGTGCCCAAAACACTAACCTTCATACTTGATATTTAGCATCTTCAGACAATCCATTTTTGGGATAAGAAAGCCATCACTGAGAAGAGCTTCAGCCACTGTCTCCCTAGAGCAATCAGAGAGTCTTATTAATGCCTCTTGCTCCTCCACAAAACATCACTGGCATCAGTTCTGAAATAAGTTTGAGATGATCTTTAAGGTCCCTCCTAACCCAAACTGTTCTGTGAGTCTATGAAAACTGCTCTCTGAAGACTGAGGACACAACGCAGACAAATGCCACTGTGAAGTCTCTCTGCAGCAGCCTCATGACCAAAGGGTTTGGCAGTTTTGCAAGCTGTGAATGGAGAAACATTCCCCACCCCCGGCTGGTGTGAAGGGGGCATTTCCCTGCATAGCAGAGCAGCTATTGTCATCAAGTTGCCTGATCATTAAGAGTCACTCAGGAAGTCATGAAACAGTTAACAGAAACAAAATCCACAGACAGGAAAAAATACATTTGTACAGTCACAGAAACCAGCTTCTTCCTCTCTGTTTTGTCTTATTTGAAGCCTGTGCTAAAGGGAACCATCAAAAAGCCTTCTTCAATGTAGCACAATGCAGCAAAATTCTGATGAAAGCATTACTGCCAAATTTGATTACTTCAGAAATGACAGATATCCTAGAGATACACCCCATCAGACTTTTTTGTTGGAGCAAAGGATCAGTGTTTTTTGACAGACTCTTGCCCCATCTTTGAAGTTTCTTTAGGCCACATGTTGAATCTGAACCCTCATCTAGGTCACCATGCTGGAATTCCAAACAAAGCCATCAGAAAACTGACAGAGAAAGATGGAAATGAAACCAGGCTCGTAAGAAGTTCTAGAACTCTCTCAGAGAGAGGACAAACTTTAAAAACTGCTTTAATTTTGGAAGCAGCATCCAATTCATTTTGGATTTTGGAGCACACCAATTCATTGCTGCCCTGTGATCCATCCTATCATATACACCTGAAGAGGGTTATAAAGACATTTCTATCATACCATCATTCTACCTTCTAAAGAAACGATTGCAAAGCAGTGAAATTCCCAACTTATTGTGCAGGAATAAAATGTTTCACTTATAATCTACAGCTATTCTAAAATATTTCTACATATAGGTCTTTTTGGAAGATAGGAAAATTTTAATTGACTTACCAAGATATAAGAACACAAGACTACACATTGCAATAACAACACTGAAACATCTTAACTACCCATTCCCAACAAACAGCTTTTCAGAAGAAAAATTAACAGGGGAACTTTTGGACTAATAAAAGCTGTTTAACAGAGCTTGATAACTTGATAAGAGCTTGCTAAGATTTCCTCCAAGCTAGAGGTAGTGCTGCAGGCAGGATAGTTACTTTTCAAATCTTCTCAGAGATGTTGAGGATATCAACCAATTGCTGTCTCCACGATCAGCTGAGTAACACAGTGTCTACAGGCTCAGCTCAACACTGTCTCTTTCACTTCAGGTCCTTCTCAGAGATGTACCTGTTCTCTTGCATCAGGTCTTTGATCTGAGCCAAAATCCAGTCCACTTCTGAGGAAGAATCAGACCATACTTCTTGAGACTTTGAGACAGACTGCAGAGTCTGCAAAACCTGAGTGAAGGAAAAATCCAAGCATTAACAGAAAACACGTTCCAATGGTGAAGAGAAAGACATGGCTATGAATAGAAGATGGACACACAGGCCATCTGTACTGCAGCAGAACTTTAAAAAACTCACAGAAGTTCCCCTTCCCAAGGGTATATCAGAAATTAATAAAAGCCATGCCATACTTGGAAAAGACCTAAATTAAAAAGGCAGCAGCACCAAGGAGTCACAGCCACTGGGCCACTGCAAGAATATACAAGGGCTGATAGAAAACATGGACTAATGACTTCCAAATGACAGGCCTCAACTTCCAGAGATACCAGGATGAATGAAAACAAACTGAGCTCTATCCACCTGGACAAGGAAGATCTGGGATATCCAACAGTACATCTCTCATTTAGAAACATGAGCAAAGTGCTGGCTTTAGGAGCCACCACAGCTCAAATTGCTTGTTCTCTGCAGTGAAGCCAGGTATGACAACACCAGGAGGGAGCTCTAAACAAGGACCTAACCAAGCCTCTCTCCACACATGCAGCAGTCACAGGTCCCCTCTGGGCTACATGCTAGACAGCAGCACTGGGGACACTGGTGTACTGCCAGCTCTGCAGCACTGACACAAACGTCAGTTCTCTATCACCAGCACTTCTGCATAGATTCTAACTGTGTGAATCTGCAGCAGTAAGAAGAAGGGACCCCTGCAGTTCCAGGAAATAAACTCCTGGCACAGCAACTTAGTTGTGCCAGCACTCAAGTATTTCCACTGAGGCGTGGCCAACAACACCAGCTCTTCAGTTTGGGCAAGAATGAAGAGGACAGGAGCTGGACTCGATGATCCTGATGGTTCCCTTCCAACTCAGCATATTCTATGATTCTATGAAGACTTTATTGCCCCAACCAGGAAATTGGAAGAACCAAAAGTGCTGATGATCACTTACCTGAAACTGCTCATTCTTGTAGGACATCAGCACATCTCTGACTTTTTCTAGAAATAAACGTAAATACATAGTTTAAACAGGGGAAGGAAATTGTGTATCTGGCCAAGCTGCCTAGTTCTGCTGAACATAACACTCAAGGAAGACATCAGTCAAATGAAGTAATAAATTCTAATTCAGACAGTACTCAAGACCCCCACTGCTCCCAGAATTTTTCAGCAACTTAAATTTTATCAAGTGGTGTTGAACCAGAGTTCAGTATTTTGTCCTTAAAAGTGGCCAAAGATAGGCAAGTTGGATAAATCCAGACAGCTCAACAACAAAAAAAATATCCCATAATAGATCTGTTTAGGAAGAAATTGTTCCCATATCCAGTTCATGTTCTGATCATATTTGTATTCCTTATACTTGCATTTTAAATCTATTGCAACATCACTGTATCTATTCCCAAATCAACCATTTCCTTATTGGACTTCATTAAACTTCAATTTACCACCTATGTGAAGTGTCCTTTCTATATCTGTGGCCCCATTTCACTGCACATGAAACAGCACCATCTTTCAAAATACCTCACCAGTTAGGTGTCACTGTCACCTGCTATCAGGGTGCCCACCACCAGTATCTCCTACATGAAACTCCAGATGCTTTTGACCTGTACAGCTGACTTAACATTGCAAGTCCATTGCTCTGAATATATCAATGACAGGATCTACTGTTTCATTCTGTAGTTCTCTCTTTTGGCATCGGGGGGTGGGGTGTTTTTTTTTTCGTTTAGAGAAGCCAGAAAAAGGAGGAAATAGCATCTTACCCAACATCAAGTCAGACAGAAGCCCAGACATACACTGACAAGAAAAGGGTTAAGTGCTGCTGCATCCAAAAGTTTAGTCCCCAGGTTAGGATTGCTCTAATCAATTCTGCACTAAACTCAAAGTGCACAATAAATTAGCTAACATTTTCTGCATGACAGCTACTCTATCTGAGTCTGTTATAAAGGAATCTAGAAAAGACTTTGCAACAAATCCATTGACCCTAAAGCCAAAAAGATTGTTACAGTCACTTGGTATAACCTAGGGAGCAACAATGGTCACTAGCATTTCTGCACGTCTGCAACAGATGAGCTGCTGCCATCTGTTGGGTGAGCTACTCCTCATAAGCATGCCATGTTTTGTCAGAAAAAAATGACTACTTGGTTTTAGTGTTTGAGATACTGTTTGTTACCTCACATGCCTCAAACTCGCAGACAGTCTAATCTCAACTCCTGCTTCCTCCAGTAAGTCATTCAAACTAGAAACTTACTTTGAGAAAAGCTGATTTGGGGTTTAAACGCTTCTGGTGGTGGAAAAGCAGCCACTGGAACAGTTTACCAAAGTCTTCCTGCTGTTTTGTACTTTGTATCTTTGACGATGTCCAGGTTGAGATACCTGTGATTTTTTTGGTTTTATATGCTATCGTCAGGACTACAAGATGACACTTTTAAACTGCTTTCTCTAGCATGGGACACACCTAATTCTTGTATCTGCCACGGTTCTAAGGACACCTACCATGGAATTCCTTGTGTTTCTGACAGGTCTCATGCTGTGGGGTTTGAATCTCCCATGCACCATTATCCAGCTCTGCATTTGCTTCCATCCCTTCCTGCTCCTCTTCCTCATCTTCATCCTGACTTTCTTCACACAAGTTATTCCCCAGCTGACGGCTCCAATACGTCTTCCGTAGCCAGTCCAGCACAACGTCACACCCTAAGGGAGAACACAAAACACTCAGTGAGGTTTTCTTTGTTACTGAAAATCATACAGGTGGCACATTGCGAACTTGCACTGTGAGAAGAAATACTGTTAACAAGTTGCAAACCCCACAATCACGTACAACCCCATTAATGAAAAGGTGAACAAGTTGTTTTTTCAAAAAAATCAGGCAACAAAGCCCCCTACAACCCAGTATTACAGGCCTGGTTAACACCCACCATCTTTTTGGCAACAAAAAAGATTGGACACTGCTATAGCTCAAGCTAGGCCAAATTTAAGCAGAAACTAAGTCCCAGCACTAGTGCTCCAATGAGAAAATGAGCCAGTTCTTCAGTATCACAGGGATCAACATAGTGCCTGTAGCAATAACTTTTTTTGTGTACAGACTACACCAGGCATATGTTAGATAGAACGGAAGGAAAACCCTTTTCTCCCATCACTATTTCACTATCCAACACAATCTAAGGACTCCAGTGAAAGTTATTTAACTGGCACATCAGTACTTAACCCAGACTTGTGAGGAATCCCTTCCAACATCATGACCTGGTCACTCATTCAGGCTTGCAATACCTACTGCATTTCTTCCTAAACAGGATTCTTTTTTAAGAGTCTTGGTACCTCTAAACCACCAGGAAGAGCATTTACCTCTCTCCCAAGATGAACTTCCTGTGCTATAAAGAAGAAAGATGGTTGAACTATTGTTGCCAGTACTTTTTCCAGGGGAAGGAGAAAGTCTCTGAACACCTGCCCTGTGATGCACCATAGCCTGGAGTCACCAGAGCACCCCTAGGACCATAGACCTCCCTGCCAGGACAAGCCCACTGCCTGCCCTGCAGCACCCAAAAATGGTGGGGAGGGGGTGCTCCCCCCAGGGCCCAGGGAACTCACCCTTGCGGCACAGGGCCAGCTGTGGCAGCTTCCCATGGGTCAGCTCATGCCGGAGATCCACCACCCAGATGGGGATGTCCACCTGGAAGAACGGCCATGGGTGTTACCCACAGTCCCCACTGTGTGACCCCACAACTGCCTGCAGCCCTGCCAGGCTGCAGAGAACCTCCTCACCTGAGTGGGAACAGCCTTTTCCAGGCTGGTCCTGCACCACAGCCCCCCAGCTTCCCACTACAAGGGTGGGCTGAGATTCCCCTCCTCTCTGATGCCACTGCTCCTGTGGCCTAGGATCCATACAAACTTGGGAATTTACAGGTGAAATTCTTACATATTACTTGCACCAACAGATGTCATTTTAGACAGAGGTGCTATGTGTAATATAGTGAAATACTGCAAAGCAATTATTCTGGATGACAGATCAAAGACACATATCATATAAAATACCCAAATCATACACACTTTAAGTAGCATGGAATTTTTTGCGACTTTCCTAAGGACAACTAACTACGCAAGACCTTTATTTTTAAGCTTGACCAGCTTTAAAAGGTGAGAAAGCAACACATTTCTTAAAAGTCAAGCCAAAAAAAAATGAATTCACCATTCTCACAGATGGGCCCCAAACAAAGCTGCATATGTAGGAGAGTCTCAAATACTGCCTATTATTTACTGTCAAAACTTGCGGTTTGGACCCCGATGCTCAGTGAAGCTGGCAATAAAAGGACTCCAGTTAGTCCTGCTACTACAATTACACCATGAACATCCCCTCCTCCACACACAAGCTCATCACAAGCTAGAGACACAAGAACAAAATGCCTGCAAATGGGATTAAGTGCTTTTATGTATAACATTGCTTGTCAAAGACCAGAATTTATAAATGACAGATTTAGCTTTTTTCCTGTATCTCTGTAGTGAAGAAACAAAAATGTGTGGTGTATATGTCAAGTGGGACTTTTGCTCACACATAATTAAAAAACACTTTAATCATCAGCAGCCTTTGTTACTCCCAATCTGACTTTAAAGAATAAAGTTTTAGATGTAGTTACATCAGGCTTCTTCAAAGCTTTGCAGTAGGAAAGAACTAGTATGTCTATCCATTATTTTGATTACAAAATAATGACCCCCCAGAACACCCAGTATTCTTGATAGGCAATGAATATGCTCTCTATACATACATCAATTAATATTTACCTCTCTGGCTAATTGTCTCAGAGGAATGCTGACCATTTTCTGTTTCCTTTCTGTGATCAAGTTGACAAACCTGGGTGCAGTTTATAGAAAAGACAAACAACCATCAAGACCTGCATAGAAACTTGGAACCCCAGAAACAAATTCCCCCATGTGCTGTACAACACAGAAGGCCCAGAGACGCAAATGAAATCAGACTGCTGAATACCACTCTGCATCCAGGTCTCCCCCTCTCACAGCACACAGGCCTTCAGTGCCTACCTTACAAGAGCCAGCCCATAAGAGAGGATGAGCTCATGTGACTTTAATCTGCCAGATGAATCCAGGACCTTGCAACGAATCAGTTCAGCAGTGCAATCCACTGCAAGAGGCATTTTGGGACCATACCTAGAGGTTAAAGAAAAACAGCTGAACAGTCTCACAAAAGTACATTCTTTTTGCAGAAAGCCTGGTTTTCTGGCTACGTTTTGGGCCTCTCTGGTACACAACAGCCACAGAAAAGGCATGCAGAAAGACAGCACCAAAGGCTCCTTCCAGAAGGCTTTTTGTTGGAACAGAGGCAAGTGTGTTCTCACTGCTAAGCACATACACAAGGCAAGATGCCATACCTGGAGTGCTCTTGTGTATGGATGCAGCAGAATAATCACAGAAATCATAGAAAGGTCTGGGCTGAAAGGGACCTTAAAGATCATCTAGATCCAACCCTCCTGCGCAGGCAGGGTCATCTCCCACTAGCCCAGGTTGCTCAGCGCCCCAACCAACCCGGCCTGGGGCCTTGGATGTGCTCGCTGCAGACTCTGCCTTGAAAA